GGGGGACGGGGACGTTTGGTGCTGGGGGGGTTGGGGTGTGCGTTTTGGGGCTGTAACTGTGTTGTGTTTGGGGAGATATGGGGAAGGGGAAGGAGACAGGCAGGCTGCAGTCTGCTGCAGAGGAGAGCAGGGATGGCGGGGGGCCGGGCTCTTTGGGTTCAGAAGCGGTGGGCGTGGCCCTGGCCCGGCCCCCCCCCGCGGTGGCCCCCCTCCCGGTGGCCGTGCCGCTTGTGCTTCCGGCGCTCCCTCCGGCCCTTGTGGTGGTGGCGCCGGTAGCGGTGGGCTCTCCGGGCTGAGGGGAGAAAAGACACGATGAAAGGAAACTGGAAATCGGATGTGGGAGGGACATCGATCACCAACAAACATCAGGGTCATTCAGAGAGAAAGCAGAAAGCATGGGAGCGAGGTAAATAATAAGGAAGAGGAGAACATATCAGACCAGTGAGGTCAAACCTACCTTTCCTTTATAGATGGTTCAGCTTTGTCCACCAACAGAGAATAATCAGCTTTTTCTGACATTGTATAAAATCGTTTTTTAGCAAGGTCCCATCTATTCTCACCCCTGGTGTGAGCTTATTCCTGGTGCACGCTTCCAAATGATATAAGACCCACATAACTAGATTTGCACCGAAAGACACGTCGTCTGGAGTCAGTGATAATAACACCACTCAGGGCCACAAAAAAACAACACAGTCTGCACATAAAGAGGCCCAAATGACGGAATATTTATCAGAACCTGCAGCATGACAGCGTGTTATCGTTATACCCGCACAGAGGGAAGTGTAATACACGGCTCCGCGCGTCGAATATATTGTTTTTTTATCGTTCTAATATTACAGTTTTGTCACAAAGTGAGAACCTCCAGTCTAATCAGCAAAAGTGACAAAGACTCATGAGAAAACTGTGGTGGGTGTGTAAAACTGACGGCTATAAAGGAGCCGTAACGTGATGACTCTGTGCTGTTTTTGTGTTTTCATTCCCTTTGTGAAGAGCGATGCTTACTTTGCTCCTCTGTTTTTCATGCAGCACAGTGAAAAACGTCCAATGTGGTTAGACTGTTGGAGACGTCCATTGTACTGTAGCAGTCTCAACCTGTTTTTTAAAAATGTATTCCGAGGGAGCGAAATAAAATCCAAAACCCGAGCATGAAAGACTTCAAAGGATGCTCAGGGGAATTAATTCAGGCTGCAGCCACAGCAATCCTTCTGCTCGCGATCATTAATAATGAGAAGAGGGCTGGAAAAGCCTGAATGCACGTGGTGACTGAAGGCCTCGGGGCGCCGAATGTGGGAGGTTTGGAGTTTTCGGACCTTTGGTGATGCTAAAAATAAACAAAATCGAACGGAGCCTGAGCCTGAAGTGTAGTCTGAGAAAATCTGGGAAATGTGGGGTGGGGGGGAACTGAACTCACATCTTATGCAGACGATTTTAGGTCGGTCCCACTTCCCGTTGGCGCGGCACTTAGCGGTGGGCGTGTGCCTCTGCAGGAAGCCGTCGGCGCACTGGTAACGCACCACGGAGTGGATGTCATAGTGCGAGCGCTTCCGGCCAATCAGGAAGGCATTATCCACAGTGGGGGGAGCCCCACAAAGGACTGCAGAGAGAAACAAGTACATATTATTAATTAGGCTGTCAACCCGTATTTAAATGTATTTCCCCCCCTCTCTGCAGAGGGGAATGTAGTTGAAAATGCCGAGACTTTTCCGCTGGCTCCGGCTCAATCTGTTCACTAAAAGCATACATGTGCTCATCCTAATATTAAGGACTCCCACACACACCATGCAGGAGTTGGCTGAAGCAATTTTTTGGAACACCAGCACAGCAAATAAACATCCAAAGATGATTTAGTGTCTGTCCCAGCCTGTGAGCGAGTGGGCGCCTGTCAGAGGGAAGATTCTGAGGCCTAAAGAGTGAAGGCAGGATAAGGAAAATGTTTACCCAAGCTGCGAGCTGCGAGAGGCTGCAACAAAAGGAAAAGAGCCACAGGGGAAGCGCTCCAACTGTCTCATTCAGACTCTAAATTTGTGGTAAATTTTCTGGGGCTTGAACTCAGGTTCCTCCATCTTTTAACATGTTAACTTTTGCACGACAGAAAAAAAATCTATCAGAAAGCAGCGACTACACCGCGCAGGATTTTAAAAGACATCGCAGATGTTGTTCAGGTTTTTGCTTTTATGGTTTGGCTGTAGGCCTTGATTAAAATTCAGCAGTTACATGATGTTAGCTGACCCATCAGACCTGACCTGCTGCCCTGAACCGAGGCCTAGCTTCGAGGCATAAAGGCCATCGTCCAGGTTTTTTCAGATATATAATACATATATCTTATACATCATTGATTGACTCCATGCCATCAGTAAACTTTAATACTTTGGCTTTACTAAAAATAGTAAATATTTTTTTATAAATTACAAATAAGATGAACAAGTTTAAGGAGCATCAAAAAACTTGATATATATGGTTATGGTCTTATGTTATATGGTTGTAATGAGGTGAAATAATTTTAACCTATCACGTTTAAGGACATTTAAGTTACTGCCTCATTAAATAAAACGTGCTTTCATTTTCTGTGGACGACACTAAATTGATTTAGCTGATCCTCCTTGGAATAAAGAATCGTGTGGATAATTGACATTAGCGTTTATCTACAATTTCAACATCATTAAATGCCCCTGAATGATTAATTTAAGTACAAAGTTACATTAAGGAAAAAACCTGTAATGCAAAATACCATTGTGCATGACTAGAGTGATGACATCATTAAAAATTGTTAATTGTATTTGCTAAATGTCCTCTTTCAAATCTGGTGTTATAAGTTACAGCGTTTGCACTTCACGGCTACAATTAGTCCCATGAAGACTGAATCAGCAAGTTTACAAGCCCTCCTGATTCCCATTTCCATGTTCTGATACCCCTTACATCCTTAATAAATGGGGGACGACATCATTAATTCAGATGAAAAGTTTCACGCCACATTTCCGGTTTAATGTGTTGTGGAGGGACCGGGCAATATGCCTCTTAATCCCCCACTCGGGAGGATCAGTGATTCGACACAAATGGAGGGCTAAAAGGTAGTTTTCTATTTGCTTTCAACCTTCTTGACTGTTAAATGTTTTCCTCTCTGAGGGGCCGTGTCTGTGTAAGTGTGTGTGGGGAGGGGAGGTGGATGCACAAACGCCTTGAAGATGACACAAAATGACTTTTTCCTCATTTTTTTATAGCTGATTTTTTTCTGGTTGATCATGAGATGCTACAAAGGTTGTAGAGAAAAGTTGTGTTTGTTTTTTTGTGTGCATGCTGTAAGCTGCTGGAGGTATTTCCTGTGCCTTTAGGCCGGGGTGGTGGGGGGTTGTCAGGGAGAAGTGGTGCGGCGGCTGTATTTATGAGGCATCTACATCCTGGTTCCTCTCCGCACTCCTCACAGCCTGGAAGCATTTGAACACCTACTGGCAGGAGGGTTTGATCGAATGAGAGAGATGTGAAATGTTTGCGAGTGCAGGCACTCTCTGGGAGAGAGACTGACACGGAGACGCCGAACGTGGCTTCGGAGATTCATTCTGGCTCCTTAAACGATGAACGGCTACAAACGTGTGTGAGTGCAGCTGATGACAGTTTCCGTGGCCGGCTGGGAGACAGTGTTTTTATCTCATCTGTCTCCCCCTCACAGAGCTTTTTCTGCACTCCACAGGTGAACGGGGGAAACGCAGGAAAAGCGTAAACACCTACAGTTAGAGTTTTTGTAAAGAGACAGGAGAAGAATAAGATCAGCCGAATTGTGAGACAGACACTCTTTGGTCAAATATATCTGTAAATGATTTTTTTTTCATTAGCTTCCCAGCTTAAGAAACACACGGGTTTTTGGAAACATTTCCACGGCTGTTTTTGGAAGCTGTGCTGTGGAAATAATTTCCATATTTCTGGCACTTGCTGAGAGCTGGTGAGTAAGCGTGCCAACAGGAGGGCTGCTGGTGTTCACATGCACGAGCAGCTGACTGAGCTCGCTGTGTCCACAAAAAAAAAGAAAGAAAAGGGAATGGGGCGCTTGGCAAAACCTGTAAAAAGCAGGTTGTACAAATTTATTTCAACAAGTTTCAAACAAAAGCAAAAGCTCCTATAAGAAACACCTCCCATTGGTGGGCAAACCTGCATAAATATGGGCTTTAATTTTCATGTTGTGGGCAGATGGGCATCTCTGGACTATATTAAAGATGACAGGAAGACCCGTCTCATATTCCTCAACAAATGGTGGAAAACAAACAGACATTCAAAGACAATATTTGTGAGCTCATTTGCAGCCGTTGCCAGAGGATGGAAGACTCGCACAAAGACTGGGAGCAATGGAAAACAGCTCCAGGGTTGTTATTCCCCGTGAAAAATGAATATTTCAGCTTGCAATCAAAACATTATTTTGGCATAAGTAGCAAACAAATGAGATTCAGTGGGTTAATTGGTGTATTTGAGAGCATTAGCATGTTGTGATTTCAAGAGAGATAAACAGCTTTTATTTCTAGACTGCTTCTCTGTCACTGATAACACCTTTTTCTGTGGAATGAAATCATACTTGATACCACTTCATAGCAGCTTCTTGTTGAGAGGAACCAGTTTAATCTCCTGGCCTGGGCTTGGCCAAATTCATGAAATCACTGATTTACAAATTAGTCAAAGAAATTCACGGAAGAAAAATTCTGATTCTTTCTGTGATTCAACAGTATAAAATGACATAGAGTGAGCTGGTGATCCATATTCTCAGAATAGATATTGGAAATAAGGTGTTTGTATTTTGCATAATGATCCAATTACATCTCAAAACACACACGTACTGCTCAAATCTGTTGTTATTTCTCAAAGTGCTTAGTGTTGGTCCAGTGATTGTGCAAAATGAGTCACACCCTTATATACAAAGACATCCACAGAGGAAATAATGGGTTTTTTGTACGTTTTTTCATGTACATGCAGACGTTTTCCCATTAGTTACTATTTTGTCTTCATCCGTCCAAGAAAGATGTTTATCAATTATTCAAAAAGACTGCCTTTTGGTGATGATAGAATCTGTGAACTCATTATGTCTACAAATTATTCCAGATAAATGCATTGTATTAGCATCTATCATGGGAGCTGAGAGGCCTCTCTAATTCTGTTATCTCGAGATCACAAATTGATTGTTCTGTTATCTATTGAAAACAAAGCCTGTTTTTGTCTGATAATAACTTGACTTTTCTTGTTTACTCGATACAAACGTCTGCTTTTTTGTGTCATCAGAACTTTTAGTAACTTTCCCTCAGAAGCTTTTTGTCTCAGTATTATCTGGTGATTCAAAGTGAGTTTGAAATTGAGGTGTTCCTATGTTAACATACAGTTTTAATAGTTTTTTGTTAGACACGCTGTGTAATCCTGACAGAGAGGTTCCACTGAGAGAATTAACCAAATATAAGATTTTTCATGTCTTTAAAAAAGCAAAATCAACTTGAGATTTGTGGATGATAATATTTTAGAACACGATTGAGGGAAATGGCCAGTTTTTGCCTCTGTCAGAGCAGATTTCGGCTCAAAGTCGGTGCTTCTAAACTTCTGAATGGATGCTGGTTTGATGCTGGTGTAAACAGCACGCTTCAAATCAGACGCTTTATTTCTGAGCAACTGACAAAATTATTAAATAAATCGCCCTCCTCGGCGTGATGTGTCACCCAGGACCGGCCCCACAGGAGGCTGATCAAGGTGTCCGATAGGCCCGTGTGAGGAGAACAGAAAGTGATCACCTGAGCTGCGGTAATTAGAAATCAGGCGGGGAACTCTCAGTGTGGCGCTGACAAACCCGGGCTGATAGGACAAGACAGTGCACGGGGGTTAGTTGGAGTGGGAAAGAGCCTGATGGGGGAGTGGGGGGGAAGATGAAAAGATTCTGCTGATTAGAAGTGAGTGATTGGGGTCAGAGGTGGGCTGGATGGCGGGGACATGTGACAGCAGGCATCAGAGATGGCGCAACACCTTGCTCAGGAGGGAAATGGCATTCATTTCATCCCAGAATAGAGCGGGGAAACCTCAGGATAAGTGTCTTTGCATGAGGCAACAAAAGTAACGATCTCTGTATTTGGAGAAGGAGAAATAATTTGCTTAAATTAACATAATGACTATTAATACTCCCTTTGAGATTTTTAGGTCCCTTAATGTAAAATCTTCAGGTTTTACGCCAACGAAGAAATTTTGTTGGCGTCTTTTGCTAACTTTTTTCTGATGTCTTTCCCATGCAAACAAAAAGCATGAAAAAACATGATTATTCCTTTTTAAACTTTGCATCAATGATTAATCATATTCCTCAAAAACATCATTTATAATTATGAGCTATGTCAGGATTGGTATTAAGAATTAGAGTCATTTTCATGCATGAAAAGGAAAAATCCAATTTGATGTTAAAAGTTAAGTAAAGAGACTACAAATACCAGAAGAGGAATTCATATTTTGCAACACAATACATTATAGAGTGTTCTAAAATAATACAATCTTCCCACTTCTGAAGGTTATTAGTCAATAAGTCATTGGGTATTCACTTAAACTTTGCAAAAAGTGTAAATCCTGCACGGCCACAATTCACAGGAGAGCAACCTAATTGTTTAGGAGAATTTTCCCTCTCATGTTGCTCCTGGAAAAGTTTGGCAGGAAGGTAAACTGTTGTAAAATAGACCTGACGAAAAAGCAGACACAGCTGCCTTTGTTAGTGTGGGTTATTCATAGAAGACAGCTAAAATGGAAAGGAGAAGACATTTCTGACCTTTTCCACTCACACCATGACGCTGAACGGCTGTCGACAGCTTCCGGTTTATTAAACTGAACTTTTTGCATCAAAAACTGTTTAAATACTTTTAAAGTCATGCACATTTATCACATCACACAACCTTGACATTAAATAAAAATGTCATAGGGAAAAGGCGACTGACATCTAAGTTTTATAACCAACTTTCACCAATGGAATAATGGGAGTGGTCCATCACCATGATAAAACTCTCATGGTATTAATCCAGTACAGAAAATGTATCATCAACAGTTAAGCTGCCGGAGTATTCGTCCAGTGTGGGGCTGATATCAATTTTGGTCTACAGACTATCTCTGGATGGTGATAAATGTAAGCCCTGCAGTGTTCAAAGCTCTAAGGTATAGTTTTACAGTGCAGTCCCAACATCTCTATACCAATTTGCTAATCTCCCTCCGGCTATTAAGAAGCCTGTTCTCCTTCCTTTGGTTATAAGTCTGACCCGTATGCAAATGGCTGGCACAAATAAGCTCCAACAGACTCTCTGAGGAGCACGCAGTGGCCCGACTGCAGCGCAGAGAGGGGGCAGCAGGAACAGGGGAAATAAAAAAAAACTAAACACCAACTGTTGGAGCGACGGTAAGTTTTCTTTCTGCTTGTTTGAAGCTTCCTGGATGAAAAGCATGACATATTTTATGCCGGGAAATGTGGTTAATCTCACTAAAACAGAGTATTCAGGGGATAGAACGGAGTCAGGAAGTGAGCAGCGGGGGGGGAAAACGTCCTAACTTTGATGCTGGAGGATAGTGAGAGAGCAGTAATAAGTCTGGCTGGATGTGGATTGATTGAAAAAGCCCACTTTGGGAAATGGGATTAATGTAAAGTGTGACACGGAGTGCTTACCTTAAGCTACATGTGCCGTCTGTCTCTGCGTTTCAGCAGAAATGGGCTGAAACTCTTTTGAGCTTTTTACATAAAAACGGAACATTTCATCATCTTTCCCGCTAATGATTCTGCTTTAAAAACTATTTAGAGCCACATAACTGACAGCTGAGCAAGGCGCTCTCTCCTTTTTGCCCTTTTCCTCATTTTCTGTCTCCCGGAGTCCGACGCCTTTCTGTCTCCGATTCTTTTTTCAGCGCTGTTCTTTAAAACCCCGCCGTGCACTTCCTCCTAACCTCCGTGTCAGTCATTTTAATCACCTGTAAAATGACAACGGAGTACTGCCAGAGAACCTTTTCCCTTCCTTTGGCTCATTTTTTCCTCACCTGTTCCCTTCTTGCAGACATAGGGCAGGTTGTAGTTGCAGGGCACATCGTTCCATTTGCCGTTTTCGTGAGCGATCATTACCACGCAGTCCTCTCCTCCAGCGAAAAAGTTGTCCGGCTGGTTTTCCCGCCAGTGCTCAAATTGCTGCCCAGGTGCACCAGAAGAAAAAGACAGACAAAAAAAAACATTGTTAAGGAACAGAAACCAGTTCAAATCTGCTTTCTCGTTTCAAATGCTCACAGCTTCTTCGGGGCTTCGTAATCCACTTTGAACCCAGAATTACCCATCTGGGATCATAGCTGTCCCACAAAACCAAACGGACACCTCTGGTTCTTACCAGATCCATCTTGTCTGTCCACTGGAAGTCGTCCTCGACGGTGCGGTCGTTCAGCCCGATCCACGTGTTGTCATGACTCAGGCCTGAGCGGGATGCAATAAACAGAAGGGATTGATTAGGAGAAGAAAAATGAGAGGCCCGATCTTTAGCTGTGACATGACACAAATGTCCAACCTACTGTATATCATCAGGGGAATCACATATAGTGAAGCAGGTTATTGTGGAAGAGTGAGAGCATTGAAAGTTTGTACTGAATTACTGGTCAAAAAGGCCAAACTACTACTGGTTGATGTGTACTTTGCTGTATCTTGTATTCAATATTGACTTATTGTCTCAGAGCCAATAACAATAACAGAAACGCACTCTTTGAGTCTGTGACGCATTCAAGATGAGATTTTTTTTGGAAATTTCCCTAATGACGTTCTGGGTTAATCTCATTTGTGTGTGTGTGTGTGTGGGGTGTGTGTGCGTGTGCCTGCACATACTGTATGTATTGATGTTCAATCACTGTGATGATTAACATCATTGCGAGGCACATTAATCTTCCTAATAGCTCTGGTCGCTTCATTGCAGGGGTGGAGACATTAATTTTCAAGGCAATTTAACACTTTTTTTTGGGAGGGGGAATCTAGGGATGAACCCCATTATTTTTGCCTCAAGATCAGCTGTTTTTTCTTCTTGCAAACTGTAAAACTCCCCCATTTATTAGGTGAAAAATATCCAAGTAGTATTTGTTCTCTCACCTTATCAAGCATTTTTTTTGTCATTAATGTATATAAAGGTAAGAAATGAGTATGTCAGGCAGAGTAGCCTCAGAGTGAAAACACCTTTTTAAAATTAGATGAATTCTGCATATTTGTTCTATACAGGTAAGCTATAACATTTTAAAAAGCTATACGTGCTATTTATGCATGTCAGAATTCCACATACATGCAATGTCTTGAATTTGGAGGAAAAATAGATCTGTTTATTCACCTGATGTTTATGTTTGATAATATTAATTTGTACTTTAAATGTATTTACAGGGAATTGTCCATTTGTAACCTCTACAGTATTTTACTGTTGTACAGTAAAAGTTGGAGTTACACGTTATTTTGGGAGTGAAACCTTCTGCCCTTAGTAATAGGAAAATATCTGAGCTGAGGATATCTGGAATAGTTTGCGTTGAAAGGCACTTTCTCAACTTTTGCGAAGGCTCCCTGCTAACTTCCTACAGAGTCAGATTAAAAGCAAAAAACGCTAAGCCTCTTTTCCAGAGGCAGCATTCTGCGTGCCAACTTTGTGTCTTCCTCCGCCCACCTCTGATGAAGTTCTGCTCGGCTGCGCTGTGGACGCTGGCGAGGTGGCCGCTGTGCTCCCTGCAGTCCTTCTCCGCGTCCTCCCAGGTGTGTCTGCGGCTGAAGTACCTGTAGCAGTGGCCGTGGAACTTCCTCCAGGAGTGCTCGCAGCCCTCCGTGTCTGCAGGTGGACGGGAAGTTGTGAAAGAAAAGAAAAGAAAAGAGGGTGGGAGGGGGTTATGATTGAAAAAGACTGTGATTACTCTTTTTAAAATCCGCGTGGGACGACAAGTGTAGGCTTGCTTAATTGGTAATCCACTTGGCTGTACTGTTCAGGAGAGAGAAGGGAAGGATTTAGCACCAAAAAGTGGGATCCCCTTCGTCTTTCAGGATTATGTTCAGTTGTCCCTTTGATCTAGCCGTACAGGAGATCGACACCATGCTTTTTCCTGGTTGTGTGTCTCTGCGCGCTGTTGTTTTAAGTGCCCTCTGTGACACGCTGCCTCCATCTCTGCTTTAGTCTTTTGCCTTCCTTTCTTCGGGTTTGACTTTTAATCCGCGGCGGAAGCAAGCCAGCACCGAGACAGCTTAGTCCAGTGAAAGGGCGTTTTAATCTATTCAAATGACAACAATCCTTAGAAATTGCTTCCAGTGTGCAGAGCTCGCTTGGTAATTAAGCCCCGTCACAGTCCTGTCAGCACACTGACTAACCCCCCCCCCCCAAACCCTTCCTCCTCCTCTCCCTTCATCTCTCTCATCTATTCCCTTCGCTCTCAGCTCTCTAGGGTTTAGCTTTGTGGCTTTGCACAGTTGGTGTGCACGAGTGTGGGCAAATGTGTGTTTGTCTGCCGTCTGCAAACATATATCTTGTTGATGGAGTAGCTCTATCAGTTTCAGTCCCCCCCCCCCCCCCTCCTCTGTTTTTGCCGCCTTCTTTCTCCTTCCCAGCAGTACTCAGATCAGGATATATCTACGCCGCTTTGGGCTTTTCCCCAAACAAATGTGAAGCGACACCAGAAAATTTGGCCGTGCAAATTGGGACTCGGGGGGGGGGGGGGTCGCTTAGTATGCAGAGGGACGCGAGGTCTTAGCGATGAGGGACGGGAGCAGAAAGGACAGAAAATGAGCGGAGGCTGAAGTTGTCCATTATGGGAGAAGAGTAATCAGAAATAAGGGCATCCAAAGCCCTGCTTTGCACACGGTTGAGGCCCTTTGCATTCGGAGTGCCATCCAGGGCCTTTTAGAGCTGCGGGGATGTGGAGAGCGCTGACATTATTTTGCCTGGAGGGTCATCGTGACACTGCCTCTCCTCAGGTGAAGCCACTTTTTGTCTCATTTTGTCAAAGCGTGGTCTGGGTGACCAAAGTAAGGGAGGGAAGGGGGGGGGGGGGGGGCAGACAGAATGCCTGTTTCCAACATCCAGAGGCACGGCGCGGTAAAAACAATGCACTTCAAGGATCATTTCCCCGCCGTGCCTCGTTCGATAAACAGAAACCACTCGTGTCAAAAATCCGACACAGATGGATGCCTGTGGGGCCTGGACCGGGGAGGGGGGGGGGGGGGGGGGAAAAAAAAAAGAAACAAACGACGTTCGTAGACGACGGCGAAATGAACTGTGGTGAGTTCCTGACCCGCTACGCGTCCCCCCTCATTTTTCTAGCGCTCCCTGAAAATTTCAAAAATCATCATTCATCCACAGGCCCATATGAAGGCACTCGGAGGTAATTATGCAAACACAGGTAATGCGTGCGGATGATTTAGAGGTTCTGGGGAACTTCATCAACTCCTCGTTCAGAGTGAGTTTCCTGCGCTCCTCACAGTCTGACTCATGACTTTGCTGCTTTTGCCTGAACGTCAGGTCAGAATAATGAGTGGCACAATTGGATTTCCTTTTTTATTAATTTCCCCAAGACTTCAAAGCACGCTGTAAGGCACTATTGCGTTATTATTATGTAAATTCTGCTAATGTGGAGCGTTTCTTCATCACTCTTCCATCTCAAGTTTCTCCTGGTAGATTGAAACTTTAATCTGATGGCCTCAAAACACGGTAATGACATGAAACCAATTAGTCATCCGAACAGGTTGAGGGTCCTCTGGGGGGCTTAGTGGCCCTCTGAGCAGGACTTTTAACACAAAGGAACTCTCATCTACTTATGATTGTGAATTTTAAAGTTGAATCTGTCTGAAAAGGTTGAGCCTTTCAGTTCTCTGTTTGATGGAATTCATGACTCATCCTTGCATTGCTCATTTTCATTGTTCAGAGATGAGTGGAACAAAAAGAAAATAACAAGAACAAAATATGTTTAAACTGCTGGAGATTCTTGATAAAAAAAAACAAAAACAATATTAAAGTGCTTTCAGAGCTTCTCTGAGTGAAATGAACTCTTGAGACCTGAAAAGCCAGCAGGTATAACTTGTTGCTGTATCAGAACTATTTAGCATGTTAAATATTCACTAAGACAAAGAATGTTAAATAGCTAAAGGATGAAATTCCAGCAGTCAAAGCATTGTATACGTTTCAGAATCTGACCCTGTATGCGTACAGGTTCTTTGTTTGACTTAATGAATGCTGAAATACGCCTGTATAGAAACATGCTAGCTCTTGATAACAACAGTGGTCCTATGAAAAGGATGCCGACCCTGAGAGGTGCATAAGGTCCAAATCGTGATGCATCATGGCAAAAGGGTCTAAAGATTTGCAAATGGTGAACTTGGAACTCTGAATGAACAATGAATGTGGGTGTTTTGTCTCTTTCAGTCCTTATATCAAAGGAAAGTTTATTTTTTATGGACATTGCTGGGTTTAAACAATACCAATCGATGTATTGTAATAATCTTCCTTAAAATTGAAAAGGTAAAGGACTGTTTTATGATTTGTATCTGCATTTTGCACGTTGATTGTGCATAGGCTACATAATCTGACTCAGGAAAAAACTCCATCACAGACACAGAGCAGTAGAAAATATATCCATCCAGCCACTTTGTGTTACAGACTAATACCCCACAATATCAGGGGCATGGCAGTAACATGGCAGATTGTCAGGATTAAAATAAGAATTGGGCTCTTAGGACCTCAATTTACCCAGCAGATTTGATAAGATGAAGAAAATAGAGACATTTGTACCTTAAATGCCAAAGCTAAGACATTTTCTAATGTTTTCTTTCTTTAAAATGGTTGTAGAGTCGGAGACAGGAGCAGAAAGAGAGGGAACACACAAACACACACACAAACACACAAATGTGCACCATGAATTAAAGATGCACACCTTAATTTAATTCCACCCTCTTATGTGGGGATGGCGGTGACCATTGGCCTGCCGCTGCTCCCAATACAGCCAACGTGTTCAAACTGTAAGCCCCATGTGATTTCAGGCTTATTGGGCAAAATGTACGTGTAAGTAGGGAGAAAAAAAAAAACGAGAACAAAACAGCAAACTAAGTGAGCAGTAAGCTACAGAGTGGGAGGAAAGAAAAACAGAGATTAAGACACAGAATGAGAAAAAAAAGAGCACGATAGAGAGACGAGAAGAGAGAAAGTGAAATGAGAGATCAGAAATAAACAGGCATGTTCTCTCCCCCTCACATTTTCAGCCGAGTCTCTCCTGATTCCTTCTCCCACTCCCTGACAGTGAGGCTGAAAGCCTGACATCACATCAGCCTCTTCAAATATTTAGACATTATTCAAGTTGTCTTCTTTTTCTTGTTTTCCCTCTGTCAGACAGGGGGGAGGGAGGGGGGGACATTACAACCATTAATATTCCCACTAGACACTAGTGAAGAGCAGTTAGGAAATAAAAGGCCATACACTTCCAGCTGACTGATTGGGTCGTTTATCCACATCACCCAGTGATATTTCTGCTCCTCGTCTTCTTTAGATCCCCTGAATGATGAAGCGGCGTGGCTCTGCAGTGTGTGTGTCTGTGTGTGTGTGTGCGCGCTGCCATTTTGCCTCCTCCCTGTGTGAGTCTTTTGAAGGCTGACGGCTCGGCGTGCCATTTGCGAGAGGGCACATGACGGCGGTCCGCGGGGAGGGGGGGAATGACTGAGAGGGAGAATCTGCTGATGGCCGCCGTCAAAAGGTGAGAATGTGCCCCGAATGTGCAAACGGCCGCGAAACTCATTTGAGTTATTAGGAGCTCAGTGTGAATTGAATAAACATCCTAATAGCGCTGTTCTGACTATCGGGAGTAATGGATTTAGCAGTAAAACAGCCACAGAGCACCACAACCATGACGGATGCCAGCCACAACACGTTTTCTGCAGAGTTCCACCAAAAAACGTTACAGGCTGATGCTGATGGAGGAGCTAAAAATGAGGGCCAACTAGACAGTAACAGTAAATATTACAATTTTCCCACACAACGTGCTCACAGATGTCATCCAAGACTGTTTGGCAAACAAAATGAAAAAACAGCTATTTCTAGTAAATAACCAATATTTGGATATTATGAAGCTATGTGTGTAAAACACACAGATGTAGTTTTACAATATTTTCAATCTGCAGGATGCGATTGGTTTGGAAACATTTATGAAGCATAAAAACTGGCTTCATCATTTTCTTAACCACCAACAGTCTCACTTAAAGTTGTGGTCAGTCTGAAAAAAAAAATCAATCTTCATTTAATGGGATGAGAAATACCACGCTGTACGAATCAGACAGAAGAAAAAATACTGGATGGGAGAAAGACAGCTGCAAAAACAAAAAGTCCTTGGTGCTCAGAGCCATTAAAGTCTGTGGAGTTTTCACTTAAACCTGGAACAACTTTGCTGAGACCTACAAACATGACTCTGCCAACACCCCCCTCCCAAGAAAAAGCTAAACATCCAAACCTAAAATGAGCTAAGATTGCAGCTGTTTGTATAGGCCAAGAAAAATAGTTTAAGATGTAGAATCTGGTAAAAACTTAAAGACTGCATCACGCAAATACAAGCTTGTGATTGGTGAAGTAGTTATCAATGCTGAGCATTAAAAAGGCAAAAACCAGAAAACCAGAGATAGTGCTTTTGCAGGGCAACGACTAAATGGCTTTTCTCCTAACCAACCACACTCCTTCCACATATGGGATTATTTCAGAATCTAGTGGTGGGATGCTAATTACCTCGATCCTCTTATCTTATGATATAGGGAAAAGTGTACCTGTTTATTGGTCTGTTGGACACAAGCTGTCTTTTTTTATTGTTAAGTGTGTGTGTGTTTTTTATTTAATTCTTTTATATTTTGGCACTAAAAGCACCTTTGATTTCTCCTTAACAGTAACAACCGTAGAATAAGTTTTGGAAAGGCACAAATAAAAAAGCACCAAGAATCTGAGCACTTTGTTTTTGTC